ACCTGAGGCCAGTTTGATCTCCAGGTGACCCAGCCACCCCGTCCCTGTCACCTGAGGCCAGTTTGATCTCCAGGTGACCCAGCCACCCCGTCCCTCTCACCTGAGGCCAGTTTGATCTCCAGGGCTGTGCGGATCAGGGCCATCAGCGTGGAGGTGAAGTGCACAGTTAAATCCTCGGGGGAGATGGGCATGTTCATCCTCACCAGGCGCTGGGGACAGACAGGACTGGCTGTGAGTGGGGGCCAGGACTCTTCCCCCCACCCTGAACCCACTCTGAACCCCCAGATACAAACAGGAAGGAACTTTTTGTGTGCTGAGCTGAAATTCTTCTGCACAAGGATGCCAGCTCCTGTCCAGGAGCAGGTTTGGGGTGGAACTTCAGAGGTTTAATGAGTGATTTGCCAGCACTGCTCTGCAATCCTACAGAGCTCCCCCAAAAAGAAGCCAGGTGGGAGGCTCTCATCCCATTTCCTGAGTGTCTCCAGTGGTGTCTGCACCACCCAGGCTGTAGGAACCCTGGTCACTGAGAATTTCAGACTTTCTGGCACTGACTCCCAGGAGAACACTGCATTGACCTGAGGCCGTGGGGAAGCTTCCAGAATGGAATGACAGAACTGGGATTGTGGGGGTGGAGTTTGGATAGAAGTGTGTGATACCACAGGGTGTAAAACTCAGAGTTTAAGGGTTTAGAATATAGTAACAGATATATGAAGCAAGATGGAGGTTTTAGGGCAGAGGCTGCTGCTTCTTCTTCTTCACCTTCTTCTCCACAGGTTTTGGTAGTTTTGTGTAATTGGATAGAGAAATCCACATTGAGGGCATGGGTGGTTCGTTATTGGGTTAAAAGTAAAAATAATTTAGGTGTCATTGCTTAATTGCTTAGTTTATCCTTAAAAGGTCTTACAGAGAGAGATGGAGCTCCATTTTTTAGTTTGTTAAAGTGAAGTGCTGCAGAACTCACGGTCTGTGAGACTGTAACATAGATAAGAACTCATAAATATCTGAGTCCCAACAAGAAATATCTTCTGATTTAATCCTGACCCTGGCAGAAAGGAAGCAAAAGAATCAGCACCAGACACGTGCCAAAGCAGCATGGTGAGGAGATAAAAATCATAAATCCACCTTCTCCACCCTTCCCTACACCAGCTGGCCTCACTACATCCTCCACCTAAATCCCAAAATGGGACAAAATGGGGTCTGGCACCACTGATGAATGGATGATGGAAAGTTTGCATCTGCCACCCGAGGCTGCAGCTCCACCCGGGGTGTGGCTGTGCCCCTGCCAGCTGTCCCTGCTGGGAGCAGGACGTGAGGAAGGCACTCCCAGTGACAATGACAGGGTGAGGGCTCTGTGCAGGAGCTCTGCTGTCCCTGCAGGGGCTGGGATGGTGTATTTTGGTCCCAGCCTGAAGCTGCTGAGCCCTAGAATGTGGCTCAAGCTGTGGAATGGTTGGGGACAGGTAAAGGTGACAATGTCCTTCCTGCTGGGGACACCTGGATTCTGGATCCTGTCTCCTTCCCTTCAAGTCACTGAGCTGCACAGTCCCTCCACACCTTCCCAGAGAGGAGAGGCTGGATTAACATGGCCAGGTCTGTAATTCCCACCCTGTTCTTCCAATCCAAACATGGAACCACCCCTCAGGATCCAATCTTCAGAGCTGGGAGCGACTCATTCCCCATCACCAGCACCTCTGGCAGGGCAAACCCACCATTCTCCTGAGCAGGAAGCACCTGAAATTGCTTTGGAAAACTTTGACCTGCTTGCAGCAGAGCAGCTCCATGCCCCAAGCCTTGCTGATAACCTCAGCACACATTTAAAGGATGGAATTCTCCTCCTTCAGCAGCCTGATGACTCCTCAGCTTTCAGGAGCTGCTTGAAAACATCCCTGTCTGGATCTGTATCAGACAAACCTCAGGGTTTCTCTTCTCCAGAGGGATTTGCAGCCCAGTGAAGTCACTGGGTGTTGATCTGCCTGAGCACAGCCTCAAAAACACAGATGCAGCTTGGCCTGGACCCCTTGCTGGGAGAGATTCCATCCCTTCTGAAAGCTGCTTGGGCTGTTATTTCCATCCTCTCTCTGCCCAGAAACCTGCTCTTTGTTAAACAACAGCCCCTAAAGGCTGCCAGAGATGCCAGCTGCACTCACCCCAGGGCTCTGGGCACTGCAGCAGTGGGCACAAGCCTGGCACTGTTGTCAGAGATGCAGATTTTGCTCTGAAACTCCTCTGCTGATGGACATTTTCCTGCTGGGGAAGGCAGCGAGGTGCAGGTGAGAGCAGGGACCTGCTGGAGCCTCAGGCGAGGCGAGAGGCTCAGGGGGAGCCCCAAGTGCTGCTCCTGGTTTTCCCCAAACCAAGCCCTGGCTGGGGCACAAAGACTTGGCCAAGTTTTCCTTCTCTGGGATAAACTTCCAGCTGTGAGAAACTTCCAACTTCTTCCACTTCCCACCTCCAACTTCCCACTTCCAACTTCCACAATGTATGGACTGAGCTTCCTTGGAATCCCAGACTGCTTCAAGTTGGAAAAGACCTCAAATCAGCCCATCCCACCCCCCGCCATGGGCAGGGACCTTTCCCTAGCCCAGGTTGCTCCAAGCTCCATCCAACCTGGCCCTGGACACTTCCATGCCCTCAGGGAGGGCAGACCCCAACCCTGGCACCTTCTGCCAGCCAAGGAGACAATTTCCCCCCCAAGGGGACACTTGTAGGTGTTGATATGAACAGACAAAGGGCACAAAGTGCTGGTCCAGTGTAAAATCTGCTCAGAGGAGCTGAAATCTCCTTGTTTACCTATTTACACATTTTCAGCTCTCACTGCACCCTGCAGGGACAAGAGACCACTGTAATAATGTCCCTGTCACCTGAAGTCTGGGACAAACCATTGTGATCTCCCTCACAGCAGGCCCAGAGCTTATCCTGTGTCTGCCCAGCCCCAGAAACAGGGAAACCAAAGTCCAGCCTCTCTCTCAGTGACAGTATCAAGTGCTGGCAACACCACCGGGTTTTTTTCTGTTCGTTCATGTCAAATGAAATGGGATTTCATTCAAATTCTGCCCTCAGCACACAAAAAGCTGCAAAAAAAAAACATCAATGAGAGCCCACAGTTAACAATCACAGTCCCAGAATCCCACTGGAGTGGGAGAGGTAAGGGATGCAGAGAGAAGATGCATGCAAGTGAAGAACAGGCAAACGAGGAACAATTCCCCACAGGAGAGCTCTATCCTCCCAAAAAACCACCACCAAAAACCACTTGGTGACTGGCACATCCCAGGTCTCCCCAGCTGATTTCCCAGGTGAATTCCCAAAGGATACGGATGCAGAACACAGGCCACCCACAGCTGTATGAGCAGTGCTCTCCTCCTCAATTTTAGCCAGGGACAGAGGATTTAGGCAAGATTTTCCCAGGGGATTCCCACTTTTGGAAGTCTGGCTGAGCAAACCCCACATCTTGCTGCAAACAGGCACCTGGAAGAGGCTCTCCCTACCCCACATCCTTCTCTCCTCCCTGCATTTCCCTCTGCACTGCCTTTTTCTCCATCCCAGTATCCAAACTGGTCAAGCAGGTAACTCAGACACCTCCAGGCCATGGGAATTCCCAATGTGAGAACCCAGCAAGGAGCAGAAAGTGGGGGTTGAGTTGCTCTTCCATCAGGGATGGGCAGCACAGGAGAGGGAAGCTGGGATGGGACAAGTCCCTGTGTCCCCTCAGGGTGCCAAATTTGGATTCACCTCCCTTTGGACAGCACTCAAGCAGTTCTTGCCCTGCAGGTTGTACCTTCCAGCTGCCCATTTCTTGGCCAAAGAAAAAAGCCATAAAATAAGATAGAAATGCCTCAGAACCTGCAGCAGCCAAAGCCAACAGACCTCAGCTAAAACCACCCAAGATCCTCCCAAAAGCAGGGAAAATTCCTGCCCTGGAAGCCCCTGGCTTGAGAAAATCTCTTTTTAAAATGAATATCTGGCATGTCTGGAGAGCTCCTGCTGAGGATGGAGCAGTTGGAAGAAAGGAATTGATTCAGCTTGGATCCAAAATAGCTCTGCCACCACAGCTGGGTGCTGAGGCAGGGCTGGGTGAGCCACTGCTCACCCCACATCCCAAATCAATGCCCCAAATCACCGTGGGCACCCAGAGGAGCCAGGACTCGGCCAGACACGGGCACAGCCAGGAGGGATTTGATCCTTGAGCGTTGCCTGGTGTGTTTTCCCAATGCTAAAAATGCAGCCAAAAGGCTGAAACTGCAAACAAAAGTTATATTAACTTTTTTCAACATTACAAAATAACCTTATACATAAAAACATCTCCTTGTGCAGACTGTGAAATTTCAAGCCTTTCCAGGCTATTTTCTAATTTTATCTGAATTTAATTCCCCTCCATTTCTAGAAGATCCATTTAAAAGGAATCCAATTGAAATTGGCAACATTTTTCAAACTCAAAATATTCTGCTTGACCCAAAATTTCTCCTTGAAAAACTTAATCAAGAACTTTTGATTTTCATCTTGAAACAGGCTAGAAGAGGAAACCTCAAATTTTCTCAAAGACTTAGGGATAAGAATATACGTTTTTTTAAAAAATGGAACAAGTTGCTTAGAGTGTACTCAGTTTTTAAAAAATGAACTTCTTCCCAATTTTTTGCCGTTTCTTCTGCCTGAATTTGTGCTTCAAGGCTGTGTCAGAACTGCAGCTCATGGTTTGAAACAGGATGAAAAAAATTGAGAGGGAAAGGGGTGAGGGGAAGGGAAAAGAGTCAGGAGGGGGGAAAAGATGGGAAAAAGTGGGGGAAAAGAAAGAACCAACGAAAAAAAACCCAACAAAACCAAAAATAACAGAATCAAAATAAACATAAAAAAAATCCCAACTCTAATTTGGATCATTTCCCATCTTTCTGGAACCCAGAAGGAAATTTTAGGAGCCTGCTGCTCCTTCCTTGCACTGATAAAGAATGTGCATCACTTGGGAACCTGCAGCCACAACGCGGGTGAATTGATGATGGGCAGCAGGGAAAAAAAAGTGGAAAAACCCGGGTGAATTAATGATGGGGGCAGCAGGAAAAAAAGATGGAATCGCCTCCCAGTAGCCCTGAGCTGCCGGGAGAGGAATTCCCAGCCGCGGTGCTCCGCCAGCAGCAGGTGGAGTCCCCGCTCCGCTCTCCCGGCCGCACGGGGGGATCCCTCCCGCAGCCCCCCGATTTAATTAGGCGGATTTGGAGCTCGTTAATGCTTCTGCAAGAGAGGGCCCCAGAGGCAGGAGCGGCGCCGCGGTCTCCGGAGCCTGCTAATTAACGCTGATAACGAGCGGCTGATTAGAGACGGGGTCGGGAGGCAGCGCTCGGTGCGCGGGGTCCGGGCGCGGGCAGGAGGCGGCACCGGCGCTGTTTAATTGCCAATTAACAAAGGCAGCGCTAACGAGGAATCAAATCTCTGTGACAGGAATAAATTCCCGTTCAGCTTTGCTCGGGAGCTGCTCGGACAATGGACCCAAAGGCAGGAAAAGCGTTGGAGGAATAGGGGAAAATTCATCCCGGGATCCAAGGTGTCTTGCTGGATTCCAGCCTGAGCCAGAAAAGGTTATAAGACCCTAAATCCTCTTCCCTGGCACATTTATCCAGAGGCAGCAGGAAGGGGAGCACACAGTGCCTGGAAAACTACTGGCACCCCGACAGATTTGAATTATTAAGAGCACCCCATCAGCCTCTGGGACAGGAGCTGCTCTGGGAATGATCCCCAGACAGGAATAAATTTGGGACAGTGGAGCGCTGCTGTGGGAAATGAGGTCGAGTTCGATAAATAAATTATTTGCTATGAATAATTCACCCCGACCTAGTTGGAATGATTTGACTCTGGTTTAGTTCTGCTGGCTCTCCATGGCTTTCATCCCTCTCGCTGCATCCTGCTGGAGCAGCCCAGCTCTGAGATCATCCCAGGAATCACAGAATCCTGGGGTGGTTTGGGTTGGAAGGGACCTCAAAGCTCATCCACTTCCACCCTCTGCCATGGGCAAGAACAGTCAGCAAATCCTAAGACAGCAGAGTGAAATCAAAGAGGTTTTCTTCCCCTTTTTCATTTGATGGGATAGAAAAGACTAAAATTCCTGGAATCACAGAATCATGTAGGATGGAGAAGACCTCCAAGATCATCGAGTCCACTGATCCAGCACTGCAAAGCCACTCTGACCCATGTCCCCAAGTGCCACATCCACATCTGTATGGTTTTAAATCCCTCCAGCAGTGGTGATTCCACCACTGCCCTGGCAGCCTCTTCCAGGGCCTGAAAACTCTATGTGAAAACTTTGTGAAGAAATTCCTCCTGCTGTCCACCCTGAGCCTGCCCTGGCCCAGCCTGAGCTGTTCCCTCTCCTCCTGTCCCTGTTCCTGGAGCAGAGCCCGACCCCCCGGCTGTCCCCTCCTGGCAGGAGCTGTGCAGAGCCACCAGGTCCCCCTGATCCCCCTTTTCTCCAGGCTGAGCCCCTTCCCAGCTCCCTCAGGAATTCTCCAGCCCCTTCCCAGCTCCCTCAGCCTCTCCTGGGGCTCCAGCCCCTTCCCAGCTCCGTTCCCTTCCCTGGACACGCTCCAGCCCCTCCATGCCCTACTCACTGCGGGTGGCCCAGAACTGATCACAGGAATTTGGGGGTTCCAGCCTCCTCCCCCAGCCCGGGGCAGGAGAGAGCTCCCTGATGCCCGAGGATCCCGTGCACCTCGGGGGAGCAGCAAAGCCACGCACACGGAACTGCAGAGGCTGGTCGGGCTGACCAAGGAGAACAGTTGAGAAAGGGGAACCAGAAAACAGCAGAAAGGAAGGACAGCAGCCAAGGAGGCTGCAAAGAAGGGAAAAATCCAAACAAAAACCAGTGTGGACGTACTGAGAAGGCAACAAAGGCGTGGGGAAAACACACAAAACCTCTGACGAGGACTGGGAAAAGTAGACATGGAAAGAAAAAGGGGGGATATGTGGGGCAAAAGAGCTTTTGCTGGACAGAAGAGTCAGGGGTTTTAAAAACCAGAGGGAAAGGGTGAAAATAGGGCAGAGACAAAGCCCTGGCTGCTGTTGGCACTGACTGAGCTACACCTGCAGGAGCAGGGGGTCGAGGTCCCTCTCCAGGCTCTGGGGAGGCATCAGTGCCCAGGGGGATTCCAGTGTCCTCCTGAGTCTCTCATCCACTTGGGAGTGGCTGTCACACGAGTGGCACCACGGGGGACACCTGGCAGGAGCAGGGCAGGGGGTGCCACATCCCACCACAGTCATGGGGGATGCCAGCACCAACCCATGGATGTGCTGCATGGAGAAGTGCAGGAGGGAAGGAGCAAAAACCAGTCCTACCCCATGAGGGGTTAATTTTATCAGCAATAACTGGGTGAGAGATCAGCCCAAAGTGCAGCTTTAATCCATGGGGGAAATCCTGATCTTGTCTTAAATCCGTATTTTGTAGTTCAAGGCTCTGTGATAAGGAGGAAGATGAATGTGATCATCTCCAAACTCAGAGAAATCTGATGTTCATCCCACTGGAGCTGTTTGAACCCGCCTGTGCTTGTGACACACAGACACAATCCAGAGGTTTCTTCTGAGATGGGGAAAAATTAATGATATCTTTAAAAATCAGGAGTCTGGGTTATAAAAAGAAGCCATTCCTATGTACCCTGGGTCTGTGGGTTTGTCCTGTAGGGACAGATAAATCAAAGGAGATCTCAGGAAATCCTCAGGCTGAAGAAATGCCTGTGGGCACAAAGTCCTCTATGAAAACCAGCCCAAAATCTTATTTTAAATGCCTATTTTAACACATGTTCTCTTTTCCCCTTTTGTTTTCTTCGTTTTTGAATTCTACAAGATTTAGTGGAAAAAAATGGTTTTATCCTTCTGGTACAGCCCCAGAGCAGATCTGGTTGCCCACCTACAAACACCTCCTTTCAGCAGGACACAGCTCTCCTAAACCAATGGAAACTCACAGGTGGCAAATCCTTGGATTTCTGTGGATAATTGGTGTCTAAAATAGCTGAGACCTGGAATTTTGATCTAGTTGGGTTCCTCAAGCTCAGTTAGGGTGGCCAGAAACAAATCAAATACAGCAAAGCCACCTAAGTGGAGAGATTTAAGGTTATGTTTTGTTTTCCTTTTATTTTAAATTCTGGCACACTGAGGAAGGATCTTGTAGGAAGATTTATCTGAATTTCTTCTTGCCTGAATAAATCGGCCTCAGGTTTGGGTTTAGCCTGAGCCTCTTCACAAAAATCTTGTGTTTATTTGGTCTCAGTGGAAAGTCCCTCAGTACAGGAGGGGATGTTGTGATGTGGATCCACTGGACTGAGTTTTGGTGTTTGGGAGTGCCTGGAGTGACACCAGCAGCCAAAAATTCCTGCTGGGTTTGATGGATCCTCAACCACACCAATGAGAAATGGTTCTGAGCAACCTCTCCCTCTAAACTGTGAGGTTCAGTGGTGAAACTTCCAAGGAATAGCCTTGAAATGGAAGTTTCCAAGCACCCTGAGAGTTTTTGGGAGGGCAGCCTGGGTCTGCTCCATTTCCATCTGAATTTCCACCCAGGCAGGAGCCTTTGGGATAGATTTCATCAGGCAGGATTTGGGATAGAATTCATTCTGGTGGCTCAATTAAAAAGTTTTGCCAAATCAGCAATAAGCTGGAGTGATTTCTCCATCTCCCTGTCCTAAATGTTTTCTGTTAAAACAAAGTAATTTCTTCCACGGGGGTGTTTAAGAAGCCCTTCTGGTGTAGTCTCTGTTTAATTCCTTGCTCACTCCTACAGTACTGCCTACTCTAATGACTCCAATCTAATTAAGAGGAGGAAAAAACAACATTCTACTGAAGGGTTAGTGAGACAAAGAGCCCCAGGAAGAAAACTGGGGATCTAATTGGGGGTAATTTGCTTATTAGCATGGTCCCTCCCCAAACTAACCTAAATGGAAGCAGAATGAGAGAAAAGAGAAACACTGATATAGGGAGAGAGCAAAGACAGAAAGACAAATTGATGTGCCAGAGTTTCAAAGACAGGAAAAAAAGTTACCCAAAAAAAAAAAATATATATATATATAAAAATGAAAAAGAAAAAAAAAAATCAGAAGATCCAAAATCTCGCTTAGAAAGCAGAGAAAGCACCAGAAAAGTCCAGAAGAACAACACCAATGCCACAGAAACCCCACTTCAGCCACGGCACAGAAAGCTGGTGGTTGGGCTGGAGCTCCTGGGGAGGTTTTCTACCTTATAGGCAACACGAGCTGGGCATTTCTTCCCAAGGCCTAGAGGTGGGGACATGTGTCTCAGCATCTCATACATGTCTGTGTAACTGATGCGCCCGCTGGGACCACAGGGATGAGGCAAAAGCACCAGGACACAGAAATCCCATCGGATTGAGGCGGGGAACATGGGGAAGGGGTGGGGGGGAAGGGCAACACAATGGAGCAAATGAAAAGGAGGAGAGAGAGAGAGAAGGGAAAGCAGACAAGAAAACAGAGATCTGGTTAATCAGATTTCTCCAGGAAACAAAACCAAACTCAAGAAGGGCAGGAGAAAGAAGGCTCCGCTTCCGTTGCTGTTTCGGCGCCCAACGTCTCCTCCTCCTGCAGGGGTGGCCCGTGGTGGCCCTGGGAATGATTGATGTCCCCTGGGGAATGCCTGATGTCCCCTGGGGAATGCCTGATGTCCCCCGGGGGAGAAGGGGTGGCAGGGCTGGGTTTGGCTGGGGTGGGGGATGAAGGTCCCCATCAGCCCCCAAACCAGTCAGGTCACCATGCCAGGGAGAGCTGGGGGCAGAGTTATGGGACAGGGCTGGGGGAACACAGCCCAGCTTTCCTTCCAGGAAGCAGCACTTTGGGTTTGGGTGATGGCACGAGGGAGAAGTCAATCGTGGGGTGTTTTCTGAGAGATGGACTGGGACTGCTCCCACTCCCAGCTGAGGTTGGGATTCTGCAAATTCCTGATCCAGCAAGAGCAGAACCCAGCTTTTGCCTTGGCAGGAGGTGGGAAGGGAACCTGCTCCTCCCACACTTTTGGTGGCGCTTGTTTTTCACCAAGACAGCCTCAACTGGGAATTGCAGAAAATTTGGGAAAAGTCCCTCAGAGCAGCCAATGCTGAGGGCATCTCCCTTCAGCACATGGTGGTGGTGGTGGATGAATCCTGGCTCGAAAAACAAGGGGTGCAAAACAGCAGGAAATTCCTGCTTCACCTTTTTGTGCCTGTTGGAACTGGGAGCAGATCTGTGCCAATCTCCTTTTGTTTTCCCAGCGAGCTGCCTGCTTATATAGTGTGCAAACCTCTGCTGCCTGGCATCTAAGGAGACCCAGAGATGTTATTAATTAAAGTTATCATCTCTAGACCAGCAGGGAAAACCTAAGCACCCACTTAAACCCCCCTTTCTGAGCAGGAACCTTCCCACCAGCCCAAAGCCCTGACATAGGTCTCAGTTCCTGTGTAAAGCTTTGATGGAGGAGGGGGAGGAAGAGGAAAGAACTCACCCAAGCCAAACCATCTACTGCTGACCCTGGTAACTGCTGAGATAAAATCCCACCCAGCTCCCCCAGCCCAGAGCTGAGTTAGAGGCTGCTGAGAGACACCGATGGGAACTGGAGCCAGTGTCCTCCAGGCTGGGGAGTGGGGTCTCCTCTTCCTCTGCAGAACTTCTGAGCTCTTAACCCTCAGTCAGGTGTGGGAAACACCTGGGCTGGAGTGGAGAAGAAGAGGAAGCTCTGGGCTGGCTGCTTCCAGCCTTCTCCTTCATCTTCTGTTTTCCAGTAAATTCCCTGCCTGGAACTGGGTCCCCCCTGCTGCCCATCCTATGCTGATTTCTCAGCAAGATCTGTCCCAGATTCCCCACCTGGGCTCCCAAGTACAGTGAACTCTCCCTGTGCCATGAGCAGGAGCTTTCCCTGGGTGTCCACCACAGCTTAGAGACACCATTTAACCCCCAGGCCATCTCTGGCTCTGGCACTATGGAAAGCTCATCCCTCATCATCTCTGGCCAGATCCAATGGTTTTCCAGCTCAGGAAAGGACAAGTCGATCACTCAACAATGCTACAAAGCCAAACCAAACTTGCTGCTCCCTGGAAGCCTTGGGATGCCATTTCTCTGGAATATATTGAAGTGCTGGAATAATTTTCCCCAGGACTTCCAACCTGGAGCTGGCAGGATGGAAGCTGGAGGGTTCCTGTCCCATAAAACTGTCCCCAGGCAGCTGGAGTGTGGGAGGAGACAGGGAAGGGATGCATGGAGGAAAAAGGAGGCAGTCAGTCAATCATTCCTCTTTTCAGGCGAGGGATTGGTTACGGTACAGTTTCTTTTCTCTACTGGTTGCATTTGCACTCAGGGGAGGGAAGAAAGGATAAAAAGAAACAGAACCAGGACTAGAGATGCTGGAGGGATCTCTGAAATTCCAAACCTTGTAAGCCACCCTATGAGGGCACTTCTTTCCTAAGCCCAGGGGTGGAGCAATTACACGTAACAAATTGTACATATCCTTATAATGAATGCGGCAACTGGAAAGGAAACACCAGAGGTTATGACAGCAAAATCCAACAGGAATCAGCTTTTCCACAGGCAAACAGGGAGAAATCAGCTTTTCCACAGGCAAACAGGGAAGAATCAGCTTTTCCACAGGCCAATGGGACAAGCTGGAAGGGCAAAACACGCTGGAAAGAAAGGTTAGTCTGGAAAGGAAGGAGCCACTTTAACACAGAGAGAACTTCCAACTGCTCACCCAACCTTATCTCCTTGGATTTTCCTCTGGGAAATCCTCATGCCATGTGCAAAGCTTCCCAAATATTTGACTTCCCTTCCCACTCATGTTTTAATTCCCTGTGCCTGAGCATCAGCCTCCAGACTCTGCTGCCCAACACCCGGAGCCTGCAGGCCACAAAGAGCCTTCAGTGGATAATTCCTGGGATTTTATTACAGCTCTTCAACAGATTCTTGCCAGGATTCAAATTAGCTGCTTTAAAACCTTGGGAACCTCTCCCTGCCACTGGCACCTCCTACATAACCCCAGCAGGGCCATTCCTGGGCAATGAGGAATTTGCTGGGAGAGCAGAAAGTGTCACCTCCAGAGCCGTGCTGGGCATTGGCACTGGGAAAATGCAGCTTTCCATAGCAAAAGGAGAAATCAGACACCTCCTGGAAGCTTTATGGTCACTCTCATTAACTCCCCACAATAATTTCAGCTAATTAAACAGCAGGATTATATTTCTCAATCTTTTTTTGTACAACCAACTCATAGATGAGAAGAGCCAAACTTCAAAATTACCTCTGAAAAAAACTGGGATGCTTTGGCCTCCCTGTATTTATTTTGGTGCACTCTGTAAAGAAGGCTGGAATGTTTTGGGAGAACTCCTTCAGTGTTGCTGCTATTTGGGCTGTGAAGAATTAAAGTCTATTCAAAGCTTTCTCCAACCAAGTCCAAACTCTGAATTTGAGAGCAAATGGAACCATGCAAGTCTTGACTCCAGACCTAAATGTGGGTCTAAAAAGGTTTTGGTTTAACTGAGGCACAGAATTCACACTTTTCTTACAATTTTAGAAGGATTCTGGAAAGTCAGGGTGTGGAAAACATGGCTGAACAGTTCCCTGAGCTCTCCAAGAGTCCGTGGAAGGCTGGAAAACCAACAGATGCTTTGCATTGGGAGATCATGGCACAAACCCAGGACAAACAGGGATCCTTTCCCAGGTTCAGAGAATTCCAGAATGGTTTGGGGTGGAAGGACCTTAAAGTCCATCCCATTCCATAGGGACACCTTCCACTATCCCAGGGTGCTCCAAGCCCCTCCAGCCTGGCCTTGGACACTCCCAGGGATGGATGGAGCAGCCACAATTTTTCTTTAAATCTGATTTTCCTCAGCATCCCATTATCCCAGAGCTCCCTTGGGAGCACCTGCAGCTCCTCCTGAGGGTCCTGGGCACAACTGATGGCAGTGGGGTGGCCAGAGCAACATCACCAGTATCTCCATGGGGTGGGCACTGGGAGAGGAATAAAACAGATTAACTCACTTTCTATATGTTGAAAAAAGCTGCTAGAAATCTAATTGTTTTCTTTCCCTGTTCATCCTTAAATCCTGTTTGCCCTCTTTTCTTAATTAACTTCCACCAAACCACCCTGTGCTCCCCATTTCTCTCAGTTGCTTTTTTTTTTTTTTTTTTTTT